ATCAATTTCTTTTTTTTTAAATCAATGTCTAAATAAACACAAACGTGTACTAAACTTATAATTCGAACTAGAAAAATAAGTAATCCCATTCAATGTCACAGTCGATAAAGTATATCTTGATCGATTGAATTACTGTTACTTGATATGAGTTTTAAACGGGATGATTACCAAATTGTAGGGATAGAATATTTAATTTTGAGTTGGCATGATTGAGTCCATTATATCCTAATCCTCTTTTTTTGAGTTATAAATCATTTGAAATGAAAATTGAGGAAGATGAAAAATTCCATTTTCAGACTAACAAAGCATTTGAAATTATATTCTAAATAACCCGTTTTGATAGTGTTTCTTGTTCATGTTTCCAGCTCCACCTCACGTGGGGTTCGAATATTATTTCATTGGCCTTTGCCTCTTCCTTTTTAGAACAACAGGCTATTTCAGTCACTTCACCAACTAATAATTAAAAATTTGATCTTTCTCGATCATTTTCCACCCTATAAAAACCCCCTTTCCTCACTTCCTTGATTGCCCCAAACAAACACCTTTTCAAAACTTCTCCTAAAGCCATGAACAATAATGCCTTCTCCCAGTCACAGTCCAAACCAACTCTTCCAGATGCTTGGGACTACAAAGGCCGACCTGCCGACCGCTCCAAAACCGGTGGCTGGACCGCAGCTGCGATGATTCTCGGTCTCTTTCTCTTCTTGTTCGTACTATTTTTTTGGTCGTACTCGTGGTTGTTATAAATTTGGTTGTTTTCAGGAGGTGAGGCTGTAGAGAGGCTAACAACACTGGGAATTGCAGTGAATTTGGTAACGTATATGACAGGAACCATGCATTTGGGGAATGCCACTTCGGCTAACACTGTCACCAATTTCCTTGGCACTTCCTTCATGCTTTGTCTCCTTGGCGGCTTCATTGCTGATACGTTTCTTGGCAGGTTCTATTTCAAAAAAAAACATACCTTTTTGGATTTTGATCTTACTTTTCTTTGTTCAAAGGTTGTCTTTTTGTTCATGATTTTAGGTACCTCACAATCGTCATCTTTGCAGCCGTTCAAGCAACTGTAAAAAAAAAAAACTATTTTTTCCTATTTCTAATTTCAATTTATACAAAAAAATTTCATTTGGGTTTTTTGAATATTGAATGAAAAATATGTTTTTTTTTTTGTTAAAGGGTGTTATAATCTTGACAATTTCCACCATAATCCCTTCGCTCCGGCCGCCTAGATGCACCGCAGCGTCGCCACTGAATTGCACTCCGGCGACAGAGTTTCAGTTAACATTCCTCTATATCGGTCTCTACACGATTGCCCTCGGCACCGGTGGCCTGAAATCCAGCGTCTCCGGGTTCGGTTCCGATCAGTTTGATGAAACAAACAAGGAGGAGAGGTCTCAAATGACCAATTTCTTTAACTGGTTCTTCTTCTTCATAAGTATTGGCTCGCTCGCCGCCGTGACGGTTCTCGTCTACGTTCAGGACAACTTGGGACGGCAATGGGGGTACGGCGTTTGTGCCTGCTCCATTGTAACTACTTTAATCATCTTCGTCTCCGGTACTAGAAAATATCGCTTCAAGAAGCTGGTGGGTAGCCCGTTGACACAATTCGCTACCGTTTTCGTCGCTGCTTGGAGGAAACGACATATCGATTTGCCATTGGACTCGTCGTTTCTATTCGACATTGATGAGGTTGGAGATGAAGGACATGGGAAGATGAAGAAACAAAAGCTTCCCCATTCCAACCAATTCAGGTTAGCCATTTCAGCCCATCAACATTATTGTGTTTATTAACTAATAAAAATACCAAACCAAACAAATTGTGAAATTTGGATATGAAACAAAAAGATAATTTTGAATTGAACCATCATTACAGATACCGAACACTTCATGTCCATACAATATGTTATCGTCTACTTTTGAAGTGAAAGCTCACATGAATTAAGAGATACTTTATGCTATTCTTAAAAATTAGATATTTTTAAAATTTTAGGATGAGAAAAGCTTACAAAAATATTTTCCTAATTATTCTCTATAGTATTTAAATATTTTGTTTTAATTTTTAAAATTTGAAAAGAAAATGTTTAAATTCTTTTAAATAATTATTAAATTTCAATTAAAAACTTACAAAATAGAGTATTAACATAGAAAATTTTAGATATTTAATTTTAAAAACTAATTTTTTATGTAAAATAATTATTTTTTTCTAAATGAATTACAACAACAAATTCCCAAGAATATTCTATTTTTTGCAATAAAAAACAACAAAAATAAGAAATAATACCAAACAACATTATTTTTTTTTATTTTTTTTTTTGAAGTTTTGGATTTATTTAAGTATAGCCCTCACAAAATATGGACCAATAATAGAAAGATATTCTAACACGTCATTTAAAATGAATTAAATAGTCCAAATAATAATTTAGAGTGATAGTTAAGTAAAATTGAAGTTTTAGCATTAGAAGTATTGTGATGATAAAAGAATCAATCGACCAATAATAGAATATGAAAACTATTTCACACCAAATTACTCAAATTTATGTTTAAACTTTCAATTCCAATTTATTTTGCTTTAACTTTTTGGAATAACAATAAATTAAGTCATTCCTTTATTAATGAAATTCTCCCCCCTTTTTTTTTCTTTTTTAAATGACGATTTGTTTGAATTTGTGGTTAGGGTTTGAGTATTTTTGTGGTACCCGAGCTTAGTTCTTTCTGAAAGATTCATACTACTGATTTCAGGGTCAGGCGTATATTTTTAAGTCTGGTACCCACCTGCACCTAAGTTGTCAATTTTTTTACTCCCTCATCTATTTGATTTTGTGGTTAGGGTCGGAGTATTTTTGTGGTGTCGAACTCATTTCTTTCTAAAAGACTTAAACCACTAATTTCAAGATCAAACAGGTAGGTTTTAAGCCATTAAACTATGCTCGAGCATGGTAAAAAACTAAATTTCTTTCTTTGTTTTGGTCTCTTACTCATCCGTAATAACTCAACTGATGAAGTCTAACTGATTTGAAAGTTTCAATCGAGATTCAAACCTCTAACACCCACTTGCACATAATTTAACCTAACCGATGTATCTTTCCCACGAGGAAAAACAAAAGAAAAAACACGAGAAGAAAAAAAAAAGGGACATAGAGATAGGTTTAAGCTTGATTTTGTAAGAACTAGTGGGAAAGAAATGGACAATAATTTCATGGAAGAAATCAAAAAGGGTCACGAGAACAATTGTTCAGGACAGTCTGTCTTCAAAATCAGTGTACTCATGCTTGTTGTCTGTTTTTGCTGAGAAAATCCAAATTTCAACCTTCCCCAATTAACACCTTCTTCCAAATTATTTCAATTTTTTTTTCAATTTCTTCTAAAGTTTTGATTTTTTTACAGATTTTTAGACAAAGCAGCAATTAAAGAACCAGAAAAAGGAGGTGGTATTACATTGATGAACAAATGGAACATATCAACCTTAACTGATGTTGAAGAAGTGAAAATGGTGATAAGAATGCTACCCATTTGGGCCACAAACATCATGTTTTGGACAGTCTATGCTCAAATGACAACCTTTTCTGTCTCACAAGCCACAACCATGGAACGCCGCCTTGGAAACTCATTCCAAATTCCCGCTGCCTCCCTCACTGTCTTCTTTGTAGGTAGCATTCTCATAACCATCCCTGTTTACGATCGACTCATCGCCCCGATCGCTCGAAAGTTACTAAAAAACCCTCAAGGCCTGACCCCATTACAACGAATTGGCGTCGGTTTAGTCTTGTCCATTCTCGCAATGGTGGCTGCAGCTCTCATTGAGCTAAAGCGACTCTGCGTTGCGAGTTTACATGGTCTTATGAATTCGACAGCCGACCTACCATTGAGCGTGTTTTGGTTGATACCACAGTTCTTTTTGGTAGGGGCAGGTGAGGCATTTACTTACATTGGGCAGCTAGACTTCTTCTTAAGGGAGTGTCCAAAAGGGATGAAAACAATGAGCACAGGGCTGTTTCTAAGCACACTATCATTGGGGTTTTTCTTGAGCTCTTTCTTGGTGACAATTGTGCACAAAATAACAGGCAACAAGCCATGGTTGGCTGATAACCTCAACCAAGGGAAGCTTTACAATTTCTATTGGCTTTTGGCCATTTTGAGTGCTTTGAATTTTGGGGTTTATTTGGTTTGTGCCAAATGGTATGTGTACAAGGACAAGAGGCTGGCTGAAGTGGGAATTGAATTGGAGGAATCAGAAATGGTTTGCCATGCTTGAAAGGGAAGTGCTTTTAGAGCCCTTTTTAACTTTTTAGTATACATACTTGTCCAATGTCATATCTCCCTTTTCCCTTTTCGAAGAGCATAAAGTTTGTAATATCTCTATCATAGAATGAAAAGGGAATAGAAAAGGGAGAAATTTCAACTTTTGAATGTGGTTTGACTCAATTGTCAATCCCATGATTATGAATCAATCAATACAAAATACCAGAAATAATTAGTACTTAATGATCAGATAAAATTATGTATATACAGTGCTTTTGTTTGCAATATTTAAACTAGTTAAAAGGTAGTTCATTCTTATCTAAACACTTTTAAAGAGTTGTTTAGAGTTGAAATTAGTAGAAGAGAGTTTGTGTGTATTAGACCCAAGCTAGATCACCCAAAATGTTGGCTTAGAGCCGTCACAAAACGTATTCAAGTGTATTAACCCAAGCTAGATCACCCAGTCACAACGTATTCAAGTGTATTAACTCAAGCCTGTCAGAAAACATATTCTAACTGGTTTCAAACTGTTCAAGTGAAATAAAGGAAACAAGGATCTCTTTTTTACGGTGGAACCAAACTCACCACTTTTCAACCTAAGTAACGTGGGACTTAACTATTATTATCCAACTTTTAATAAGTTTTATAATATATAATTCTCTTTGATAAAGAAAAATGACTCTTAAAATGTTGCTTGCCCTAGTATAAATCACTCATACATCATCAAAAAGTTACAAAAATTTCCCATTCGGGTCGTTGGAGCAGCAAAAAATTATATATATGAAGTAAGTGTTTATTAAGCCGAACATTACATGATGGAAATGAGAGGAAAAATTACAAACTCTCCCCTCCCCCAATGCAAACCTCATAAAACTAAACAATAGCTCAAAAAGAAGCAGGGAAGATAGAGAGAGGGATGACAATGAAGATGAGTCATAAGATTTTGACCTAAGCCACCGTATAACTGAAGGAAGAATTCTCTACCTAAGCGCTCAAAGAATCACCCGTTCTTATCAACCTTTGAGAGGTATACTGAAAAAGAATGGAGCTGAAGAAGAAAGGCAGGCTACTGGTATCCGTCGCTGTTTCTACAACGTTTTCGAGCTACTGCTGCATTATCTGGAAAATTCCAAGGCCATGGAAGGAAGAAGCAACCCATATTTTTGTAGATAATAGAGAAGATTTAGAATGAAAGAAATAGATCCATTAAAATTGAGAAATCCATCCAAACTGAGATAGAAAGCCTTATATTGACTTCTTTCACTTATGATGAATCTCAAATAATTTGATTCAACTAAGTTAACACGAGATTTACTACTTTCTACACCAATGGATCATGTGGATATAAGTTGAAGATAATACAATAGAAAATAACACACAAAATAAGGTAGGATTTATACAAACTCATTGATAGACATATTTAAAAGTATATCTTCTGTATTAAATGATATTTGGAATATTGGCCATCTTAGGATATTCAGAAACCAACTTTACAGTTGAAGGAAATTGAAGAAGACTTCAAGGAACAATATAATATGCACAAACTTAGATTGGTCTTTCATTGACAGGGCAAAATTCTATGGATATGCAAAGAAAATCGACGACTCACCTGACTAAAATCATGATCCCGAATCACCGACCAAGTTCTCGTTCAATTCGCCAAAAACATCTAGACAACCATCCCACTTTCTTTCTTTTCGTGCTTCCCAGTAGCCACCCATGTATTTGTATGCCTCGTCTGTGTCTTCACCCTCTCTATGGAACCATCTGGGTTTCCAACCATTGTCTTGCAACTTCCTTGACTGTGTATAGAGAAACAATGAATGATAGAAGAAATAAGGCAAAAGGAAAAAGAATCACAGTAAGATATATGGTTCAAATAAAAATCCTGCCTGCCTAAATATAACTAACCGTATCTGCATATGATCTGTATCTAAGAGGGATGGGGCACTAGCCTTCTAGAGGCTTATTGTAATGGTTCAAGTCCCCCGCTAGCAGATATTATTCTCTTTGGGTTTTTTCTTTAGAGATTCTCCTCAAGGTTTTTAAAACACGTCTGCTAGAAAAAGGTTTCCACACCCTTATAAAGAGTGTTTCGTTATCCTCTCCAATCGATGTGGGATCTCACACTTTTAAATCTAACCCATTAAGAATGCTACAATCTCATTTTACTTCATCGCTTCCTTTGGACTTGTTTTACATTGCAGTAAATGCAAAAGGATACTACACTTATTTTATTAACTGAAAGCCTACAACTAAATGTAGCATCTTGAACATACAATTCGTTGCCGTCTCTCCAAGCGTTGTTTCTCTGCATTTGCCTTTTCGTATTCGCCGTTTTCTAAATGTCGCTGGTCTGGTCTAAGTCTTGAATCCGTGGGTGGAAGCCTTTCCTTAAACCGTGATCAAACACCAAGGATCAGATAAGATTAAGGGCATTGTAAATACATTTGACAAGAATGCAATATAGACTTAATACATCATATATACCTTCAGGTCCGCTGTTAGTTCGTTAAGAGTGATGGCAAACGAAGTTAAATTGTAACGAGTGAGATTAGGAGGAGGTTTTTCGCTTTTCCACAGCATTGAGACATCACTTGAACTACTGCGATTCGGGTTTCCATTGCTTTCACCTTCGACGTAATACATACCTTCATCCCATTTGCCAAATAGTGTGGCAACCTTTCGACCATTACCATCTTCAATAAATCCATGAACCTAGTGATTTCATATAAAATGGAAAAGTAATAAGATTAGTTTTATCCTCGTGATTATTCAAGCTAGATTGAGTGCACCTCGGTAATTCTCAGATACAATTATTTGGTCCTACTACATTTAGTTGTCAAGATAACTCGTGAATATTAAATCCTAAGTAGGTGGTCACCATGAATGCATTCCTTCTAAGCTCTTTACTATTTACATGAGCCCTTATTGACCGGAAAACCAACCCAAGGGGATTAAAGACATATACCATATATAGTGAAATTGAGAATTCAGTCAGGAAAAACATTGAAACAGCTCAATATAACATTTTGCAAACAAATTGAAGGTAAATGACCAGTTTAAACAATCAAATAAACTAACCTGATGAGGATTTCGATCTAGAATTGAAGGCTCTTTGAACTTAAGTGTGCAAGAATATTCTCTATTACCACGTATGTGCATCGTACCATGGTGGTCACAATATACTTTTCCAAGAATGAGATTATAAATATTTGTTGTCACCTGAAAATTATAAATGCACTTTGATTCAGAGAATACATAAATAAAACCAAGAACAGAAAGCACTTCTTTTTCTCTGTTTTCATCAGAATACAAACCATCATCCATTCTCACCTTGCTCCACTGAAATCTTTCTCCATCATCAAATTCCAGGTTCAAAACTCCAACAGGGTCAAGCTGAATCGAACGACCCCAAAATTTTGATCGGAGATTACTCTCCCCCCAGAATTTCCATCCTCTACCTACACAGTGGCACGCAATGACGGTTGGGTGGTGACTGACCTGAAGTTCAAACATCATTCATTGTAAAGAAGGTAGCCTTTTATTATGATTAATGAGTGACCTATGTTTACTTAAAGCTAGAGCATCAACTAATTGGTAAGAGCTGTACAGTCTTGTTACAACTCCAAAGAATAAACATTTTACATCAGACCATAATCATAATTATACTACTTGTTCTACACATCCCTATGTACCGACCTTCTCCGAGAAGAAGCGAATCCCTTTCTCAGGGAAGTCAGCTTCATAAGTTTCCCCTAGCAAAGGGTTGAATGGCTTACAATGTCGTCCTTCAGAGGAAGCATAACCAGAAACAGCAAATGAAGCAACCTTGAGGACTCGGAGGAGATTGTTCCCCTGCAAATAAATTTCAAAGATTAGGCACAAAAACAGTAGCATCTTGAAATAAACTGCATATTTTCTCACCTGTATTCCATGTTCATATGCTTGGTCTAAAAGATGAGAATATTCCATATCCTCACAACATTTCTGAAGGGATGATATGGGCTCATTGAAATAAACTGGGAGACAAACTCGTGCAAGATCCTTTCCAACATTGTCTTTTATCATAGACCAAAGACTGACTCGTTTCTCTTTCTCCACGGGATCTGGAAGCTTTTTTCTTCTCTGAACATTAGAATGCACAAAATTTTCAATCTGTTCGTCGTGCATCTTCTCTGCATTGTCCTGTCGACTATCACGAACCTTAAGTGTATCGGAGGAATCAAAAGCCCCTTTTACTGATCCATAGCCAAGAGTGAATTCTGTAAAAGATTCGTTTGTGTCATAAAAGAAACTTTCATCCACATCAGATCCATCGTCAAGATCTTGTTTCTCAACATCATCCGAAGACTCGGTAGTAGCACATTCTGTAAAATTAAAAAAAAACAACAGTTTCTTAACAATAATGGTAAAGGTGGTAGAACGAGATTCACTTGATCATCATATTATCATTTCCCTTGTACCACTCATTGATTAATCTTTTAATGAGATATTCAATACCTAACGATCTAAAACATAAATTGAATCAGCAAAGTATTCAAATTTCCTTTCACCAACCTAAATGAAGTTAGCCATGGATGCCTAAAATAACTTTTCGATCGAATTAAAAGCTTGATCCAAGCAAATATTTTCTTGCATAAGATACATCTCAACTTTTCTTTTTAGACATTAGGGCAAAATGATTATCAGCAAAGAGTAAAACAATAAACCAGAATAGTTCATACAACAAGCTTACCACTGTATTTTCCACTGCATTCGGTGGAAAAATCATGTTTCATCAACTGGTACTCACCATTGTGAATTCCATTAGCTTCAATTTCTATATTAGCTGCCTGCCACCACGTTGAATTCAAATGCTTAAAATGAATATTAACCATCGGAGCCTAACATTAAAGAACTAAAAACAAAAATGTGGAATGACAATGGTCCCATAAAAAAAGTGAAATTTAGAATATTTTTCAAGAATAGTTCATACAAAATGACACCCTAGCTCCTAAGGTTCTTCAATTTTTACAGAGATCGCAATTGATCAATGAACAAATAACTAAGAAGTTACCTCAAATTCCCTCAAGGTATCAATTAAACAAGATCTTTGTTCCAAAAGTACTTTCAGCTGTCCCTGCATTTCTGAGAACTCGGAGAGGATGATTTGTTCGCAGTCCTTAACAACTGCATCACTGATTCCCTCTTCAAGTAAACGCTTCTCGAGTTTCTGAGTGGAAACGGATAAATCATTTGGTACAAAGGGAAGATTATCATTCAAAATTCTCAACGGAAATAAGCTTCTGGAAGAAGCTAAAGCTTGAATCCAAATCACCCTGTCTTTCTTTGATTCAGTTCTCAGATGAAGTGTCTTTGTTGCAGTGAATATATAAAACCGTCGGTCATCTGATTTGCTTTCTCGGAACGATGAGACCTGCGCATAGGATACGCAACATCAATTACCTGAAGGATGGATCTTGGCATCCCAAAATGTCTTTCGACCAAACTTTTAATGTTTATGACACCCATTTGGGCATAATTCAATAAGCTAAAATATTAAAATTTTGACACAAATTGAACTAAAAAGGAAGAGCCACCAAGAACAGTCAGAGATCGATAAAACATCAAAAAAGCTTACCCAAAGAAGAACCCAATTAAATGAATCAATGTGGAAAACACCCTTCAAATTCAAAAAAACCATACAAAAGGGGATCAAGTTCTTTCCTTAAACAAACCAAAAACAGCTTCTTGAATGCTTCTCATGAAAATGCACACAATCAAAATCCGACTCCATTTCCTTAATCACTAGCAGAAGCCTAAGGAACACCAAAATCAAGTAGCAAAATTCCAGATCTAACAAAGATAAACCTCTATTTTTCTCTGGCTATTTTTCTCTCACTCTCTCTCCCTCTCTCTCTCTCCTGCGCTTATAAAGTTCAGGAAGAAATCTTGTTTTAGAAATGGAGGATAGTGGTGTCCCACCAATGTTTCTTGTCCCCACCCCTTTTTAAAGCTAAGCTCAAAATAACAGTAAAAAATGGGGGGCAGCAAATGCCATCGGAAGTGGACGCTATAGAAGCCAAACAAAACCATCCAAAATAAAAGAATTTGTTTTCCAATGCAACTACGTCACCATTTTCCTTAAATAATACTTAACCCACCATCAGATCCTTACGTTCATACGTTTCCTCAAACCCCAAAATAAATAAAAACCAAATTCATCTGACAATATAAACTCAACCCCATCTCAGATTTCAAAACCAAAACCTTAATTACAAGAAGGACAAAAATAATATTCAACACTGTTTACCGCTAATCACAATATTATGAGGAAGAACATTTGAAAAAGAAAAGGAAAAGAAACAGCAATGTCAATGGATCACTGTAATAGCCAGAAGATGAATGGGAAGAACATGGTCAGAAATTAAAAGCGATTAGAGTTTTTCACAGAACAGTCGAAAACACCTGCTGATGTGACTGACCCACTAAAAATCCCACAAACAATCAGTTAAAAGAAAACTGTAATAAAAAAACACCAGGCGAAATCAAGATCACGAATCCCAACAACAAAACAGAATCAAATTTCAAATTGAGATCGAAACAAACAAATTCATCAATTCGTTACCAAAAAACCCCAAAATTCACAATCCAGAAACCATAATTTCACCTTCAAATGAACGATTCCCCCACTTTTCTGTCGCTTCCTTCTCGAAAGCCGATTCGTCGAAATCTTTCCGATCAATTGAACATCGTCATTAGGCTGTGATAGAAGGCTGATTTTGGAGTACGACAACACACCATCTCGCAACACGAACCATCTCGATCTCCATCCCTTACCGTAATTAGTCCATTTGTAAAGAACTCCAGCCACTCTATCAACAGATCTAGAAATCTGCTGAGTGCTAGTATTCGAAAATGCCGGAAAGCTCACCGGCAAGCTTCTACTCCGGGACAATGACGAGGCTTCCTCCGGCGACTGGTCACCGATTCCGCCGCTGAAATTCTCCAGAGAGATACAGCAGAGAGGGTGCATCTCCTTGACCCGCATTTGAGCTGTTTACTGTATTTCTTCAATTGTATAACATTAATACAGTGTATCTATCGGCCCTGTTCGCCATTGAAACGCTACATCATCATCATCAAAGAAAGAAAAAGAGAAGTTGTGAGCAATGAAACGAAAGAAGAGAAATGGATTTGGAAGTGAATGGTGATATAAAAGAGAGAGGAGATGAGGTTTTCACCATTGACGGAGCTACGCGGAGCTCTGAAACTGAGAGGAATCCGCCATGGGAGAGGGAAAAAAGAGAGAAGAAATGAAGAACGAGTGAAAGTGTAGTATTTTGCTTAAGAAGGCAACGCATTATTTAAGATATTAGATTTTATTTAATTATTTGTTTAATAAAATAAAATAAAATAAAGATCGTTGTAGTGGTGGTACTTGTTGAAGCAATTAAAGCTGGGGGCAGAAATGTAATTGACTACATGTCTTTTTTTTTTATTATTTCAATTATTTTCATATTCATTTTATAATTTATTATAAAATAATTATTTAAAAGTTTATGAAACGAATTGTTATAAAGAAAAAATTGAATCAATCAAATTGTCATTAATTGATGTGAAACTTTGTGTATAATAAATATTAATTTATGGAATTCTTTTTCGAGTTTGTGAAATAATTTTTTATAATTTAGTGATCAACCAAATGACAAAAAAATCGACCAAATTTATTCATTTATAATTATTTTTTTAATGGTTATTTGAAAATAATTGATTATCGACCCACATATATTTCAATCTCATAATCTTTAACCAGTCTTCTTCTACCTCTATCTTAACTATGAGTTATAATAGTGTCTCAATCTCGTGACATTAAAATCTATCATACATTAGTTAGCTTGGTGTTATAATTTAATATTGTCTATTGAAAACCGTTTCGGTATTATCATAAAAATCATTATTACATTTAGGTATATACATATATGGCACGGATAATGTATTTTTCTTCGAGCATGACTATAAATGAATCTAAAATCTACAGTTTTGGTACTAACGGTAACCACCGTTATTTTATACTTAACTCTACTAAAACAAGGATAAGTGCATGAGGACGTTCATCTCAGTATTGACCAAATATGAAATATTTTAGCCACAAAAAAAAAAATTAATAAGAGATGCGATTTTTATGAGATAAAAGATAAAAATTGGCGCTAAAACAGTAAAAAGTAAAAAAAATGCCAAGTGGGAGGAGTGAAAGTACGGTAAAATTGAAAGAAGGCAAGGAGTGTGGGCGGTTAAATAAACTAACCTTTGCCCTTTTACTTTTTTGGTTTGAAATTTTAAATTTTTTGGTTGGAGAATGTGACCTTCATGAGTGCGAGGAGGTTGAGGTTAAAATACAAAAAGTGTTATCTTTTTATCCTTTGACTTTTTTTTTTTTTTTTCTCATCTTTAATTTAAAAATAATCCATACCCATATTAAAGATAAAATGATTTTAAAATGACTAAAGTTTCAATCGATTGAATTTCGGTCCACTTATAGGTTGATATTTTTTTGGTTAGGTCACTTGGTCAACCGAACCATATCCTACTCTTAAGATTATTATGAAATTAATAATATTTGACATTTGTAGCCGATATTAATGATATACTGTGAATTATGAATATTTAATATTTAAATTTTATGAAATTTTAGTTATTAATATAACATATATTAGAAATAAATAAGAATTTTTTTAAATAATTAAAAGTAGGACGCTAAAACTAGGACGATTTCATGTTGACCTATATCAAAATATATCTAGTAGGGTGAACACTCTAAGATCGTGAGTGGCGAACTCTAGTGCTCTCAGAAACTTGATTAGTTTCGAGGAGCTAGTTCAGAGTGTCCTAGAAATGAGAGTTCAAGATTTAACCCACCTATACGTCCTAAGAACCTAGTGAACCTCCATGACATCCAATAATAACTAAGAAAGTTTAATACACCTATTAACAATGTGAATGGTGACACTAGAGATTCCTCCTCCTATCTTTTTTTTTTGGTATGTCATTAGCAATATCAGTGACCTAGTTCAAACCTTCTAGTGTCTTGCCATGCAATAACAGTAGAGGATCAGTACTATCGAGCTTGGCTTATGCTAGACAGTATAACATATTGAGGCGTCCAGGTGCCTTTATCTGGTGGAAATGACCAAGGATCTTTTGAACAGAGCTTCTATGCATCTAACTTGATAATTGGTAAGCAAACTAGGCCGCTCTCCCAAGTGTGACTTCATTGTCTTGTTAAAGGGTATGCTAGTTAATCTTTCACAAATGATGTTCAAATAAGCAAATGTCATACTGTCATATCATATTTCATGAGGTAGCACATCAGCCTAAGATATTTGTCATTCACGGCTGGAAAATGCATGCTAACTAATTCTAAACAATATATCAGCCCAAAGTTCAAATATGTTGTCTCGTAAACCCAAGATGTTAGACTTTGGTGAACAACTTTTAAAACTTCCTAAAACTCTGAGAAAATCTCATAGTAACTTACTAGGTTAGATATAGCGAGAGACTATAAGTAGGTTGTTTATTGAGTATTTTTATACACATTCTAGTTGAGGTGGAAGAATATTCATATACGAACCCTAAATTTTCTACTTAATATAAGGTCACTACTAAATCTAATTCAATGCGAAAAATACTTTATTTAAACTTTTTCATAAAACATAATTGTCTTAAAACACAACAATTGACTTATGTATTCGAAAACATGTTTAAAACGATATAACAATAAACTCAATGAAATAAATAAACATTTAATTTTAAAATATCCTATTCTAACCTAGGTCTAATAAAATAAATACGACTACCGTATGCATGTGTCATTGTCTCAAGTTGCGATGTCGTCGCCGGCCGTACATGGAAGACTTGCCTTTACCTCAAATAGAAGTTTCACGTGACTTGAGTATTTAAAGAAATACTCAATAAGTGACCCTACTATTCGGGTTAAATGCAAACACATACAATTTCATGAATGGGACCTATCATAATAGTCTATTTTCCTACGGCCGCCATCCTAACGGGCAATTGGGATGTGTACGTAATTTTCCTACACACAGTCCACACGTGTGAGTATGGACCTACCAGCCTTTTCACACACCTCCTAGGCCCCTTTTTGATCGGACGAGCATTCTCTAATAATTGTTGATGCTTGACATCCATTAGGAATAGTAACCATCACAGCAGCATTATGATAACATAATGATCGTTCTCTTGCTTCGTATTGTACGTGTTCGTACTATCGTGAAAGATAAGGGGTATTCCCCAATGCATGAGGCCCCAACATTTTTCAATTTTCATTATCATTTAATACAACTCCGCTAACGTCTTCCTTCATATCATATCATTTGTCATATCATTTGTTGTATCATTTATCATTTGTTTCATGCATACGTCGGGGTTGTATTTCTTGCTAGTTCATCATTTTACATGTCAATCACATCATATAAATCATTTTACATACATAGGCCATATTATAGCGTTTCATATACCCATACATAAAAATTCTCATCATATACATATCATACTATAACGTATCGTATCACAATATATCATAAAATAAATATATCAATTTATCACATGTACGTACCATAACATATGTCATATCATTTTCATATTGTATCACAACATATATATCATTTCATAAACACTTCGTAGCCATATCGTTTTCATATGCATATCCTAGTCATATCGTTTTATTAATCTTGTCATAGCCTTATCGTCCTTATACACCTTATCATTTCATGAACGTACCTTAGTCATATCGTTTCTCAAACATATCCTAATCATATCGCTTTACCAATCTATCATAATCATATCATTTTCTATACATAACCTATCCATATCATTTGGTCAATCTATCGTAACCATATCATTATACCAATCATATCTTAGTCATATTATTACATTACGTTCATTGCATCCTTCTCGTAGCCTATCTCACACATATCATTAAACACATCTCAACGATACGTGGAGCAACTTTGAGGAAACAAAATCCAAACATATTCAAGTGTAGGAAGAACGCCGGCTAAGACCAACCAAGTTTATAGTCTTAAACTTGTAGTTGAGTTTAGGCTATACATTATTACAATGTACTCATTTAAGTACCGTTTTAGAAAACATCACATTCAAAGAATTTGGTATTTTTGTGGAAAGCATCGAGGCTCAATTTGAGGCATGTAGAGCTAAACAGCTTGTGCCCTTCCCTCGAACTTTGAGGCTCAATTTAAGTCATTCAAGCTTGTATCAAAGAACAAAGATGATAGGAAGCATAGTAATTAAAATTATTGTTAAAGCATAAAGAATAATAAAGCTATAATTACTAATTTAGAGAATGAAAGATGGAGATATCATACTTAATGGCTTAGGTTTCATAGAATTGTGTAGCACAACATAATCTAATAACTTATTTACTTCTAGATTAGTCTATCCTAATAAGATAAACCCTAAATAATTAAATATGAAAATCAAACTAATTCTCTTATAAATAACATAAGAGTAATGATTTATTTCTAGGATTCGAAATTTGAATTCAGCATTTGATGGCTTCGACATTTTCTTGTATTCGTTACAACATGATCACATTATTTATTCCTACCTTTTACAAGCGAAGACTATCCTCACAGACGAATACGAGTCTTTTCCACACATTTTATTTTCATTCACATGCATCCTAAAAAAATTTCGTACAGATGTTGCTGTTGGTTGTTGTATGAACAATTGAAAGTGACCAAACAATGGGACGAAAACACAAGTTCTTATGTGAAAAGGAACAACTTTGGGAAAAGAAAAAAGGAAAAAGGTTTAATTTTTCATGGAGAATTCGGAGAGAATTTTGTAAAATTGTTGGGGTGGCAAAACCTATGTTGGACACGTGCAGCTCCTAGTGTCAGTCCATTAAAATATATACACTTTTTAAGAAAAAATAAAATTAATTTAATTTTCAATAAACGTGTTCAAATAAATCGTGAAGGTTGATGACATCCCGAGACTTGAGATGAAATTACGATGTAGGGACTGTTATAACAGCCCAAATCTACCACTAGTAGAGATTGTTCGATTTGACAGTCGTTAGTCTCAAAACGTGACTATTATAAAAAATGATCTATTCTCCTCTCCAATAATGTGGGATCTCACAACTATATTGTTGAGACTTACGATAACGAGATGAGATACGACATTGCATTTGAAAGACTTTAACTTAGAGTAGATGCAAGATTGAATTGAGTCATAAGCAAGCAAACATGCAAACATGAACGGTGTGTATGGCCAAACAAACTTA